TGCTCTGCTTGGGGGAGGGCTGATCCTATGTGGCAACTGTGGTTTGAGTTCCCAGCCCAGTCAGCCTGAGACGCTCAGTATGTGCACGAATGCTCAAGGCCCAACATGCTGGATAGGCCTGGAGGAAGGGGGTCCTGGTGTGACCACACCCCACGGAGCGCTCCTTTCTTCCTCCCTCTCTCTAATGTGTATGCGTGTACTTTATCATGAATAAAGAAAAAAAATAGGGGTCCTAAGTAACATGATTAAATGTATAAAAGAAATTGAAATAATAAAAAAAATATATACAGGGGCGAGTAGGTAGTGTAGAGGGTAAGATCCTGGATCCCACATGGCCAGCTTTGTGGTTTGAGTTCCAGACTCAGTGGCTTGAGAGTCATGCCGGGTGCATGTGCATGCATGCCCAAAATCCCAAGAGAAGGGACAGTGTTACCATCCCCCCTCGGGGAAGGGATTTCTCACTTTCCCTCTTACTTTCTCTGGCAGGCACACATGCCCTATAGCAAAAACAAACAAATAAAACAAAACAAAAAACTTTTAGTTAAAAGTAATTTTCTTTTCTTTTTCTTTTTTTGGAGAGGTTTTTGCTACAGGGCACGTGCACTTGCCAGAAAGACAGAGAGATAAAAAGCGAGAAATCACCCCCCAGGGGGGATGGCCAGGCCGCAATCCCTTCTCCTCCACTCTCCTCTTGGGATCTTGGGCATGCACGCACACACGCCTGGCGTGAGTTCAAGCCGCCGGGTCCAGGACTCGAACCGTGGTTGACTACATGGGAGTCCAGCGACACAGCCATTACGCTTAGTGCTGGTCCCATTAAAAAAATTTTTTTTCATTATTCATGATAGAGCTTGTGACATGCATGTGAGAGAGGGAGAGAGGAACACCCTCCATAGGGTCTGGTTGTGCCACAATCCCCTCCCTCTGGTCCTCTAGCCTAGTTGTCCCCAGCCTTTTTGGCACCAGGAACCAGTTTCACCGAAGACAAATTTTCCAGGGACTGGCAACAGGGGGATGGTTTCAGATGATTCAAGCACATTACATAAATTGTACATTTTATTTCTATTATTATTACATTGTAACATATCATGAAATAATTATACAACTCACCATAACGCAGCATTTGCAGTCGCTCTCCAGTGCTAGCATCACTGCCTCAGCTCCACCTCAGATAATCAGGCCTTAGATTCTCATAAGACCCACACAGCCTATAGAGATCCCTCCCATGTGCAGCATACAATAGGGTTTGTGCTCCTATGAGAATCTAATGCCACCGCTGAGCTGACAGGAGGCGGAGCTCAGGAGGTAATGCCCACGATGGAGAGCACCTTGAAAATCACACAGGACACATATACATGCATGCCCCAAATCCCTGGTGGAGAATGAAGGGGAAGGATTATGGTGCCATCATCCCCCCTTGGGGAGATGCTTTCTCACTTTTTCTCTCTGTCTCTCTTCTGCAAGTGCGTACACTGAATAGCTAACCTAAAAGAAAATAAAAAGTTATAGGGTCAGCCTGTAGTACAGTAGTGCCTGAGACCACATGGCTGACTGCAGTTCAAGTCCTGGCCCCCTCGGCTTGAAAGTCATATTGAGTGTGTGTGCATGCACGACCAATAAGCATGTTGAGATTGAGAAATGGAAGAAAAAGGATTGTGGCAAAACCATGTCCCATTGGGGATTGCTCTCTCTCTTTCTCTCTCCCTCTCGCACAGTGCCCTCTAACAAAAGAAAATAAATACTAAAATATGGTCATCTTTTACTAATGCGCCTCAAATAATGCTATTTGCCTAGATATAAATACTCCAATGGCTCCCCATTGCCCTCAGGCAAGAATCCAATCTCTTAGCACAAGGCCCTCCACCTTTTGACCCTGCTACCCTCATCTCTCACTACTAATCCTGTCACAATCTTCAAACTAACCCCCAAGAATTCTTTCAGGTCTCTTCAGGGCTGCCTTGGAAGCTTTTAGTTCAGGAGTCTGGAGCTCAGGAGAGACATGGGTAGGAGACAGAAATTGTGGATTTAAAAGTGTGCAGACTGGGGGGCCCAGCAGGTAGTATGGTAGTTAAAACACTAGATTCCCACATAATTGACTGTGGTTCGAGTCCCAGACCTGATAGTTGGCTTTTGCACTCCCCACCCCCATCCAATTTTTAAAATAATAATGCATAAAATTAAATAAATAATTCTCTAGAAGGAAAAAACAAAAGTGTGCAGACTATAATTAATAATACAAGACTTGGCCAGCTTGTGGCATGATGGTTCAGGCAGCTGGATCCCACACCCAACTGTGCAATTTGAGCTCCTTTTTTTTTTTTTTTCGTTTGGAGAGGTATTTGCTATAGGGCGTGTGTGCTTGCCAGACAGAGAGAGACATAGAGACAGAAAGCAAGAAATCACTCCCCGGGGATGGTCACGCCGTAATCCCTTCTCCTCCATTCTCCTCTCGGGATCTTGGGCACGCATGCACATGCGCCCGTCATGAGTTTTAAGCCACCGGGTCCGGGACACAAACTGCAGTTGACTAGGTGGGAGTCCAGCAACATAGCCATTATGTTAACTGCTGGTTCCCGCAATTTGAGTTCCTAACCTGATGGCTTGCTTTCTCACTCTGGTCAAAATAAAGAATAATAATAAAATTAAATAAAAAATTGTTAAAAAAATAAAGATAGGGCTTGCACACTCTTTTGAATAGATACCTTCAAAAAAATAAGTATGTACCCCCAATATATTATACAGATTGCACTTCATATTTTATTTAATGTTTAATTTCTTTAGATTTTTTCTGAGAGGTTTTTGCTATAGGGTGCATACACTCGCCAGAAACACAGAGACAGACAGAGAGATAGAAAGCGAGAAATCACCCCCCAGGGGGGATGGCCACGCTGCAATTCCTTCTTCTCCATTCTCCTTTCGGGATCTTGGGCATGCACACAAACATTCAAGTATGAGTTTAAGCCACCGGGTCCAGGACTTGAACTGCGGTCAGCTACATGGGAGTTCAACAACATAACCATTATGCTAACTGCTGGTCCCAATTTCTTTAGATTTTTGTCAGAGGATGCATGTGCTCACTGGAGACAGAGAAAGGGAACATGAGAAACCACCCCGCAAGGGAGATGGCCACATTGCAATCTCTTCTCTTTTGCTCTCCTCCTTGGATTTTGGGTATGTACAAGCACCTGATGTTTGTTTTTGTTTTAAGCAATATTTATTTTATTTATTCTATTTATTCACTAATTTATTTAAATTTAATCAGAGATACACAAGAGAGAGAGAAGGAAAGTGAGAAAGCAACCCACCAGGTCCTGGACTTGAACCGTGGTCAGCCATGTGGGAATATCCAGGGTCTGAACCACCACACCACCTGCTGGCCCCACCTGGTGTACTTTTTCAAGGTGCCAGGTCAGAACTTGAACCATCACTTGGCCATATGGGATTCAGTGCCTTAACTACCATGCTACCCACTGGCCCCAGATTGTACTTCATAAAACATACACAGAAATAGAAATTAAAAGATGGCTTAAACCTGGGCCAGCAGGTTGGGTGGTGGTTAGGGTGCTGGACTCTCACATGGCCAACCACAGTTTGAGTCTCAGAACTGGTGGCTTGCTTTCTCACTTTCCCTCTGTCTCTCCCTGTCTGCCTGCCTCTCTGGTGAGAGCACAAGATCTATAGCAAATGTAAAAAATAATAATAATATTAAATATTCTTAAAAAAAAAAAAAAAGATGGCTTACAGCTTTTGGTGACTTATTGCAAGTAAAGCCCAAGTGAGTTACCACTGCTTACAAGCCTGCTCTAGTCATCCACGTCCCCATAGTTACGACATGGCTTTCCCCCTCCTGTTTTTACTTTCTCTAACTAGCCGAAGTTTCTCCTGCCTCAAGCATTTTAGCTTTTCTTTAGAGGATTATTTATTTATTTACTTACTTTTGTTTTGACCAGAGAGAGACAGAGAGTGAGAAGGCAAACCAGTAGGTCTGGGACTCAAATCATGGTTGGCCACGTAGAGGAGTCCAGCACCTTAACCACCACACCACCTGCCAGTCTCGCCTCAACCATTTTAAGCTGCTCCTTTTAGCCTATTTTTGCCAGTTATTCTTTCTGGCTCCTTTAACCATTAGGCCATGGGGTTACCTCCAACTTTATTTACTTTATTCATGAGAAAGAGTTACTATCGACAGAGTCTTGTCAAGGAGTGATCTCCTTCCAGCTTGCCGGACCTCAGGTGTACAGGTGTGTTCTCAAGAGCTACTCCAGATCCGATTCCAGTCGGCCTCCCCCTGTCCTTTTCCCTTAAGCTCATAGCACAGCTTATGACAAAAGAGTGTGCGTTTAGCTGTTTAAGGTCTGTTTCCACCACTACATGGGAAACTCCACGAAGGAAAGACCTGCATCTGTCTTGCACCTGAGTGAACTTCTTTGCAATCTGTTTGACACATAATCAATACTGAGTCAATAAATGCTGCTCCCCAAAAATCTTCCATCTTATATGCTGTGCATGCTACTTTGGCAGGCCTTGCCAACTTTTCTCCTCCTTTCCCGCCTAACTCAAAAACTGGCCCAGACTGAGGACTAATGTTGCCCAAATCCCTCCCTGTTTTATTTTTTATTTTTTTTGGGGGGGAATTGGCCTAGGGCATGTGTGCTCACAGAAGACTGAAAGAAAGAGGGAAAGTGAGAATGGAACGCCCCCCCCCTGGGGGGGGGAGTGTCACACCGGAATCCCTTCTCTTCCGGTCTCTTCTCAGGATTTTGGGTACATACACACACACATGCTCAACATGTTTTTCAAGCCATTGGGTCTGGGACTTGAACTGTATGTACAGTTTGGTCATGTGGAATCCAGTCACCTTAACCACAATGTCATCTGCTGATCCCTCCCCTGTTTTTTTGTTCATTGTATTTTCTTACACCACAGAGTTTTTTTTTTTTTTTTTTAAGATTTTTGCCCTACCCTTTCTCTTCCAAGAGGTTAGATGAACAGACTCAATATTCTTTGCCTTTCTCTTTTAATCCTCCTTCCTGCTCCAATTCTCAAAAAATTACCCAGAGAACCCAGTAATTACTCAAAGAGCCAAAGCAAGCCAGCCCAAGAGTAGCAGGCTCCCTCCCGCAGGTGCCAAAGTCTGGATGCTGGGGTCTCCACTCAGAGCCTGGTAGTAAAAGCTGGTGCAGAATAAGGTGGTTCCCGAGGCTAGCAGTAAACCGGCCTGAAAGAGACAAAGGGCAGAATACAGGCTTGTAAATACAAAGTAAGCTGAGAGGGGGTGGAAGCGGCTTGCCCAGGGTCAGGGAGGAAGGGGAAAGTTTACCCAGAGGGGCTTTCTGCAGTGGGGCACCCCTAACAATGCCAGGCTGTGAAAGAAGTGGTGCTTGTTGGCTTTTTCAAAGAGCTGCAAGAAAAGGAGAAACAGGGGAGAGGGGCCCTTCTAAGCAAAGCAGGAACCTGAGGCATGGTGACACATGGGACCAAAGTTCCTCCCTCCACCACACCCTTACACCCACGCCCCAGGCAAGCAGTCCTGGCTGCTCCAGGGACCTGCGCCTCGCCCCCGCCACCGACTTCCCTCAGGGACCCCAGACTTTGTGCCTTCATAGGGTCGGGGAACCCCAGCACCGTTACCTCACCTCCTTCCCGTAAGCATCCGGAAATTGAGCGCCTGCGGAGAGGATAAACAAAGGTCACCAGTCTTAGTGCCAGCCTCAACAACCCCCAATCCCGGGGGACCTAAGTGGAGAAAGGGTACCCCCTCACAGAAGAGCTTCCGATGGGTGGAAACACGCATCGGGCACCACTGGGAACCACCTGGATGTGGCTAAGGGACTTTAAGAGGGTTTAAGGCTCCGCGGGCTGTCTGGTCGATGGGGAGGCCGGCCCATAGACTTCGCCCAAGCGCCAGGCCACAAGAGGCCGCCCTGAGCACAAGCAGCGTCCCCAGCCCTCTGACCGTGGGCGCCGTAGGTTGCCAAGCCTAACGCCCCAGCTCCGGACAAGGCACCCAAGCGGCGGAAAGCAGCCCCTAGCCCGGCCATGGCTGTAGATGGTCACGCGCCCGGCGAACACCGCCCAGGCCACCCAAGAAGCCAGCCAATCCCGACCGCCCATGCAAATAAAGCCCACAGATGCCCAATCCGACGTGTGTTCTTTTCAGCGTCCAGGTTTTCACCCAGGTTCTTGCGCCTTTGTAAAACTATTGGTGAGTGGCGAAGATGTCTGGCGGGCGGAGAAAGTAGAACCAATTAGGAGCAGAGGAGCGGAGCAGTGGGAGGCAGGGTTGAAGGCGGGACTAGAGGATTTGCGTCACGGATTGGCCCACTTTCTAAGTTGATAGCCTCTCTGAACCCCCACCCCCTAACCTCCGGCCAATTTCCAAAGATCCCGGTCCCCACGCAAAGTTCCGCCCCTTTCCTCACAGGCTCCTCCTGTTAGGCTTCAAATCAGACCCACTCCCCAAAAGAGGCGGCCCCACGGTTACCCACGCTCCTCCCACCGTTATTAAGCCCCGCCCGTTGTACAGATGGCCCCTCCGCCCGGCCAGAAGGCCCCGCCCTCTGCATAAGAGGCCCCGCCCCTTATAGTTTAGACCTTCCCTTCTTCCCACCACCCCCAACCCCGCGGGCCGCAAGAACCCCGAGGGTGGGAGGTCCGGAGAGAATCTTTTCACCCCACCCCCGCCCGCTACGTCCATCAGTCCGTCTGTCCACTCCCGCCCCTTTTCACCGTCTCCAAGCCCCCCGCCCCCCCATACTCCGAAGAGCGGGCGGTCGGGCAGGCTGGTGCGAGCGAGGGGTGTGCGCCGCTCTCTCGGCAGGGGGCGGGGGAGGCGGCCGCGCGGTGACGCGCGGGGCTGCTGCGGCTGCTCCGCCGGCGGATCATCACTCTCG